TGTTATAACAACTCGTGGTAGTTCGCTGCCACCCCGACCTGTGGAACCGACGCCGACATAAGGAATGAGATAATAGAGATTATAGTGTAATACATCCAACTACTGTGGGAGTGTATCTAACCGTTACACCCTAACCGAGGGCGAGCGCGATAGTGATCACAGACACAGAAGGAGACATAATGCTAACACTCCTCCCACCTCAGGAGTCGCCACGCAGAATATACACGGCTTCAGGCAATGAGCCGTCACGCCAGTCGAATATATACGAAATGCAACAGTAGGATCACCGCAAATCAATGATACAAACAAAGATTGTGGGACTCCTGTGTAGTGCCGTCGCTGAGACGATAGGTCATCTTATTAGGACCGCAACACTCTGTAACGACATGAGGACCACTCCAGCTAACTCCGAGAGCAGGCTTTGGACCGCACCACTTTAGAACCTTCTGGCCAACTTGGAAGACTCGTCGACGGGACACGATCTTCTTGGAATTGGTGAGCTTCAGGAGAACTTCAGCTTCGGCCTCGTCCAATGCCTGGTGGATGCGACGGATATCGGCCTCACGTCGAGCAGAACGTCGCTTGGCCTCAAACCGCACTGAATCGGCATCGAGGGACGGAGCAATGTCCTCGAATCGCCGAGAGAAGAAAGCGGAGTCCTTCAGGCCGAAGTAGAGCTGGTGAGGAGTATTGTCGCCGTAGATCGCGCGGGAGTTGCACCGTCTCTGGGCCACGGGTAGGAACCTAGGCCACTGAGCCACATTACCTTTGCACAGAGACTTCAGAACCTGCTTCAGCACACCATGCTGACGTTCGAGAGAGCCGTTCCGATGAGCAGCGTAGGGAGGATTGAAGTAAACTTTGATACCCCAACTAGCCGCCCAGGATTGGAAGGCCACAGCCTGGAACGACGATGCATTATCGACGGTGATACTCCTCGGCGGTGAAAGTAGGCTGAAGACACGAGACTCGAGAGTCTCGATAATAGTAGCCGTGGTCGTCGAGCATAGTGGTAGGAAGATGACTAGAGAACTGGCCGCATCTTGGATAGACAGTACGTGCTTGTAATCGTGGTCTGCACTAGTCGGTAAAGGCCCAACCGTGTCCATGAACCACCGGTCATTCACCTGGACAGTATCACGAAGAGATGCCACTGGCGGCGTGATAGGACCACGACGAGCCCGGACATATTGGCAGTAGCACTTGGAGACAACCTTCTGGACACTGTGGGCGATACGGAAACAGAAGAAATCTCGACAAATAATATCAAGAGTCTGCTTCGCACCACAATGACCATGCGAACGATGAACTTGTTCGGCTAGGGACGGACCAAACCTCTTGGGGAGCACGTACTTGATGCCAATTCGGAGTATACCAGTGTCATCGATGTTGAATTTGGAGAGTCCTTTCCCCACGAGTACTCGGAGCTTCTCACACTGCTTGTCCGTGTCCTGAACGGCCTTCAACCAGCCCCTTGCCTGCTCGGGTTCAAGAGCAATCGAGCACTGTTCGGAGAGGTCAGAGTTATCCTTCCATGCTGCAAAAGCACGGCGAAGGAGGGAAGGGACAGGGAGCATGCAGAGAACGTCATCGGTTTGTTGACCTGCTGCTGCTGTGCGGCAAGTTACAGCCTCACAGTCTATCACACAAGCATCACCGTCGGTATCCATTCCGACGTCAGTGGAGTGGCAAGACTCGATGGACCGGGCCAACAAATCAGGCCATCGGGGAGCACCATCACGGGGCATCCAGCAAAACCGATGAGCACACCTCTGTAGGTTCTCGAACTTCGTGAGTAGCACACCGTGTAGGGTTTCCTGGACATCACTCCAGGTCTTCATGGTGTTAGCATTGTCGACTAAACATACCACTTCCCCCGCCAGAACGTCGCGCCCTTGCCATACAGTGTCTAGCACCGCATACCGCTCCCGATAGGTCGAACTTTTCCGCTGCTCCGTAGGTGGGAATGGAGCCCCCACAAACTTGACGGGCAGGAGCACGTACGGGATGTCAGGCACGGAGCTGAACAGCTCAGATGCAGCAGGGAATTGGACAGGCACACTGACGGAGTTCTGCAGCCCTTCTGTTGCCGGTGTGGAGCGTACCGCACGGAGGATAATACCAGCGTATGATTTGGCATTGGCGTCAGTCAGCACCACCGTCCCAAGAGTCTCCTCCAAAAGGCCGAAGAAAAGAGGGACGACACCATTCTGGAGGTACATGGTGCACAGAGTGCGGAACGCTTCAACCACAGAGTCTGGCAGGCCGGGATCCACACGCTCCTCATTCTCGGGCTTCTGGAAGCAGGACAGCGCACGCTGCATGTGGTGAAGGGCGTCCATGGAGGCGTGGTTCATGTGGGCTTTGAAACACTGGAAGATACCGCACCACCGTCGGAGCCATGACAGTCTCGCCGCTCGGGAGCAATTGCCGTGCCAGTCAGCAAGGGCAAGATCAGCCGTCGCCTGAGTGAACTCCTTCTTGGGCTTAGGTGTGACACAACCGGTCTTCAAGTTGTAACCGAAAAAAGTCACCGATGTCGACGGACCGTAAGTCTTTGCCTCGTTGACCACGAAGGAGTACTCCAAGAAACAATCCTTGGCACAGGCCAGGGCACGAGCCGCGTGCTTCTCACAACACGATGCAATGATAACGTCGTCCTTACAATGGATGGCTACCGCTGGTATCTTCAGATCACGAAAGCGGTCCTGGATGAGAGCCATCATGAACTCCATAGCCGAACCGAATAGGAGAGAACTCCACTGCCATCCTTGAGGGAGGACGCGATAACACCAGTAGCAAGGCTGATTACTGTCGTCGTAGGAGAGAACTCCGAAACACCGCTGGAGCGACTGGTCGATGGCCACTGACGAATAAGCATCCCTCAGATCCAACTTATAATAGGTGGTATAGTGGGCTGGGACTGCTCGCAACCGCCTAAGTGCTGTGATCTCGGACTGCCGATAGCTTTTGGTGTCGAACGCTGCTACCGTGTCGACGTTGTGAGCGTTCTTAGATGGCAGAAGCACGAAGGCATTGGCGCTATCGTAGGCCAGACTCAGCGAGTTGACCACTCGCAGGTCAAGAGTGATCCGATAACGCTCATCAACTTTGGAGTCTGGGAACCTACGCAAGCAACTAGAGCCCTCCTTGTCCACAATGACCACGGGACAGATCATCATGACTTCGGTCTCACGGCACCGAGA